TGTACGAGTACTTCTAGTGACACTTGGTTTTATTTTTCACTTAGGATCTACTCATTTCATATTTTATTTCAGTCCTGATATTTTACTTGGAAGGAAGGGCGCGCAACGTACTTTGAACATCACGAATCTTCTGTTAGTTAACTCGTTAAAGGGAAAACTCTCGAAGTCTCCTTACTTGTTCAGAGGCAGTGGGGAACTCTATAAACTAGTAGAGCACAAAGTTTGATTCAGGTAATTACCTGGCGATATATCAGATGTGCACGAGGAAAAGTGAGGAAGTGACTGAAAGTGCGTTGGGGAAGAGGAGAAGTCAACGAAGATATAGGACGGGAGCGGACAGGTGATGAAGCGAGAAACCAGGAGCGCACCTCGCAACAAGTTGAAGACTTTTAGACAAAAGAAACTAGCGGTGATTGTCGGCATTGAAGGAACTTTCGCTTCGAATCCCAGATGAAAAAGAAAAAAAAATGTTAGGGAAATTGGTAGAAAGGTAGTCAGATGAAAAGTGATACCGATTAAGGATATATTACACTAAGCATCGACAGGATACCCTCCAATACTGGTGGCTCACCAAGGAAGAATGGGGGCGGGGGAAGGGAGGAGAGGGGAGAGGAGGGGAGGGGCATCATGGATAAATGGAAGGGCGAGTCCTGGGGGTTGCGGGGAGAACATGAAAGGGCACAATGGTGGTGGATGCGGGGACGGAGGCGGCTGGTGGAGACAGTGCCGGCGCCGGCACCGCTGCGCGAAAACACGCGGGCTGCGCGTTGAAATTCAAATGAGCAGCACGCAGCGCGGTGTCGGATCAACCTCTGCGCGGCGCGGAGGCGGCCGTCGCAGGTTGCGGGATGGGAGGCGAGCGCCGCGAAGCGAGGGTGGCGGAGCGGCGGTGACAAGGGCAGTTACTGGAGCGTGAGTCGCGAAGGCGCGGATGGTGGAATGAGTAACGACTGATTGGGGAGAGATGGGCGGGAGATGGAAGGACGGAAGGTGGAGGAGGGGTGGTCAGAGAGACGGCGGAGGAGGATGGAAAGAAAGGAAGGAAGGAAGGGACAGAGGCGGAAGCGGTGGCGGACGTGGGAATTGGTGGTTGCCGCGATGGAGGCAGGGGCGCGGAGGAGGTTCCCCAGGGGAGGCGACAGCCAAGGTAGACACAGGTGAGTTGGATGCGGCTGACACCGGATGGGTGGAGGTGACGGGGACGTGAACACAGACGTGGCTGAGGCGGTGGACGGCAGTGAGTGGCTTGGGTTTGGTATCGGTTTGTTGATGTGGAAGCGGCTAGGGCTGGTGACAGCCGGAGAGGTAGATGCAGCATAATGGAATAATTGACTCTGGTTAGGCGGGTACCTACAAGGTTCAGGCTCTCAGCCCTGGGGAGCGCTCTGGTCAATAGTATATATGGAGGGCTGAAAAGACCTGCAGTATCGTCCGCTCCCAAAGACATCCCTCAATTTTTCGTTTTTTTGTTATTTTTTCTTTGGTGATCAAATCCTGGTGACGTAGTAGGCAGCTGGTGATGTTTCAAGAGTCGCACGTCCAAAGAGCAATCCCATTGTGGAGTTCCTGATTTGTACTGAAAGAGAAAATTCTGGTGTGAAGACAGCACAGGAAGTAACTTTATTAAACTTTGAAATTATAATAAATTTAATGTCCTTACATTTTTTACATATAACATCCAAATTTTCAGATATTGAGGTTTCTTAAATATTCATCTACAAAAATTGAATCAAACTAATACTTAATAAAATTACTCTTTTCCTGCTGAGGATATAGGGAAAGATATGAATAAAAAATACATAATAACAAAACATGAATTATTTTTAACAGGAACGTACGTTTATTATGCTCTGAGTTGAAATACAAGCAAAAGTATACAGAGAGTTCTTCATTACCACAGAATAATAAATCTTGAAACGTAAGAAAGATTGAGATACTCAAGAAACAATGGCACAATACCTTACAGAACGTGAACTTTACTGTATACGTAAGCATGTCAAAATCGCATGAAATGTCGTACGCGCGCGTACTTCAATGCTCCCTCTCATTCATTATCAACACGCAACCTTCCAGGGCGTTATTTTTAATGAAAGCTTGTATACAGATCAACGAACACGTTCATCTGGAAATGGGGTTGAACATTACATTATGCAAGCCTAGCGCACTATTCAGAAAATTCTACACTACGTATGAATTATAAAAGTATCTTAGGAATTAGAAATAATCTTTGTTCATATTTCAATCTTTCTTCGCCGTTTTATTGAAAATCTGCAGTAATAAAGACTAATTATTACGCACACAAACTATTATAATACAGTATAAATCAATTTAATAAGAAACATGAAGTTATGGAATTCTTTTCAATAATTAGGAGACACTCTTTTACTTTCTCCTAAAATGAAAACTAAAATATTCTTGTAATACGTCAACAGCTAGGCAAAAAGCAATGGAAAACAGCCAGCGATCAAAAATTCAACATGACAAATTATTAACTGTTATCAAACACTGATTGGAGCATATTCTCAAACAAGTATGCGACATGCCATTGTCTGCAGTAGCAGAAGCAGCCACAATAATAAAATGCTTCTGAATCAATCGACACATGCTTGGTTTTTGACATTTTACTAAATAATTAAATCAATTATGCTTATCTTTCTTTCGTGTTTCAATGGCATAATAATCGGAGCTGTAATACACCTCTGCGTGTGATTCGGCCACTTGTTTGTCCAGGTTTATAGGAGATGCATCATGTAATACTCGTACAAATATGTTTCATTCATTTCTTTTAATTAAATGCGAGAATTGTCAATAAATGGGACATTTCCGGTATTCGCGTTATTTGGAAAATAATATATAAGCAATAAACAGCATCTCCTATAATCAATTTGATTTATTTTACCTGTCTTAATTTCTCTCACTCGTTTTTTAACATTCAAAGCGTCTATTTTACAAAGTGTAAACACAATTATCTGTACTCTGCTGAGCACAAAATATACAATAATAATCGTACATATTTTTTGATTAGGATTCGTATTCTTTGCTACGAAACCTTTGCTGTACAAAATACTACAAACACTAAAAAATCTATTTTCTTCTTAATAAATTCTCTCTTTCTCTCTCTCTAATGTACTTTCTCTCTTATTTCACTCTGTCTTAATAATAAATAGAAGTTAGATAAAGAATGCATTTTGCGAAAGAGGAATGTACAGTTGAAGTAGAACATTCTGAAGGAAAATTACAATGAAGACGCACAAACAAGACCAAAGCTAAGACCCAAGAGACAGGGAGGTTCTTAGACACGTACGATAGATAAAGGGTTCGCTTCCTTCTTTTTCATCGTTGTTATTCGTGCATGTGAACCAACTTTTACTTCAAAAGGACACTTTTTCGTAAAATCCATATATAGAGTATAAATTAATTACTTCGCTGTACTCTCTTGAAAAATAATACAACACAACTTAAACAAAATAGATTTTTATATAAAGATATTTTATAAAAACGTTACTATTTATTTGTGTCCGTTATCTGCAGCTCAACAAAAGTTAGTTTTCCGTCCGTTTCAAATAAACGATGAAAGCAAATGCAGGAGAAAATTAAGGCGACCTACTCCCCCCACGTGGCCGGCTACGCAGCATGGCTGGGTGGGGCGGG